CAGGCAGGCAGGCAGGCAGACAGACAGACAGACAGGCAGGCAGAGAAGCAAAAGGAACATGCAGGGCTGAGGATCCCAGGCTGAGGCCCAGAATTGGGCGTCAGAGGCGCATGGCTCCTCTTTTTTTCTATTCAGTCTCCCCAGCCCAGGGTTAGGAAGTTATGGGGTGGGACTGCCTCGGCAGTGGGAGGTGGCTGAGGGGTAGGCTACACAGGGAACAGGAAGTCGCCAGGCTGTAACTCCTTGACACAGCAAGCCCTGTGAGGCAGGCTGGAGGCTTGGGGACAAGGTAGGAGAATTGTTACTGTACCTGATTCTTCGAGAGCTCCAGGACATCTCAGAGGTCGCAGGAGATGCAAAACTGGTAAGCGGTGCTCCCCTGGAGGACACACAGCAAGGCCAGGCTGAGCGTCTTACCTCTGGCTCCAGGGTCCATCGCCAACCTCACTGTCCAGCTTTGACTCTCTGCCCTCAGCCAGGGTCAGCGGGACTTTAGCCTGTGTGTGACCTGGGACTGGCCTCATTTGGCATGAATGAGTTCTCTCTGTCTAACACTAGCCGCACACATAAGGAAATGCCCAATTCGCCCTGGTTGCTGTCACCATTAATATCATTGTCATTATCATCATCGGAGAAGGTAGAGATGGCATTTTTCTCCTACCAGCCTTCCAGACTCAGACTCTGTGATACAGCTTGTGGGGAGTCACACATGACACAGAGCTAAGCCCCTAGCCATGTCCTGGAAGTCACTCGAAGGAAGAAGGCAGACATCCCTTTGAAAGATCCCGTGCTGAAGGAAGATCGAAGCTCTGGCCAAATCAGAGCTCTGGGCCAGGCTACTCTCCATATTTAGGCTAAACCACCAAGTTTCCCGTGAATAATTGTCTAACTATCCCAGCCTGGCCTGGCATACTACCCAGATCCTACATCACAGGGTTCCCAGTAGTCTGCTCCTTCCTCATCAGACCCATATCACCAGCCATGACTGCTGAAGGCCTGAGCCTTGGTCAGTTCCCTTTCACTTTTGAGACAGGGTCTCATGTGTCTTAGGCACCACCGTGTGTCATTTGCACAGTGCTGGGAACTAAGCCCAGGGTCTCGTGCAGTATTAGACAAACACTATAAGCTGAGCTGCATCTCCAACCCTACTTTGTGAGTTCTTGTTGAGGTTGCCCTGGTTCAGGGAGGGAACAGCCCCCTCCAAGAGAGGAATGTAGGGATACTGGGTCCTTACGTCTTGCAGCTCCCCTCTTGCTCCCTTGGCTCCCGGGCAAATGTGAGTACCACGGTGTTGCTCAGCAGGCTGTGGACAAGAAAGGAGCAAGGGACAGAGTCACAATCCTTGTCTAACCCTGACCTGGTGGGACCACCAAGACACCACACCTGTCCAAGCTAAGCCCCTTCCTGTGACTTCCTCTGAGACTTTGAGGTGTGAGGCCTTCCTGCTACACAGACTTCAGATTCTTCCTGCTCTGGTTTGTACCTCAGGCTAGAACATACCCTTTCTGCCTGCCCAGGTGGAGTAGCATGGGGGTTTCCTCTGATGCTTGGAGCACTTAGAATATGGGTGCTGTCTCTCGTGACATGCAGTACATCTCAGTGGCCACAGTGAATGAGGACCCTAATCTACCTTGTGAGAGATCTGGTTTCCCTCCAGCCCTTTGTAGGAGGTGTGTACAAAATAGAGTCCCTACATGCAACTGAGAACCAAGAAGGAGGCTTGCAACAAGGTGGGAGCTACACTAGCATCCATTCACACATGTCCTCGGTCCCCATACTGGTAGAGATAGAACTGAGATTGGACCAGAGAGACAGGAGGGTGACATGTCACATGGAGACTGTTCTCAGGAGAAACTGGGCAGGAACTGATGGGAGCTGTAAGGGGCAGGGCCCAGCCTGATCCCACAGGAGCTGGGGACATAGTGGGCACTGCATAGTTTGTACCAACTAAAGCAAGGAGCTGGAGGGCTGTTTCCTCACTTTCTAATCCTGCCACTCCCAGCTGGCTCCACCAGCTGCAGGCAGCTCTCCAGAGGTGTGCCACTGCACCGGCGGTGACTGTACTACTGCGCTAGCTGGGCAGGGCTCAGGCAGCATCTTCTGGGGGTCCCTGAGGCATGAGGCCAGAAATAATATGGGAATTTCAGAAAGTATGGTGACCTGGCCCTGAACTCAGGGTTTAAAGGGCAGTGACGATGCCCTGTGTGGCACCCACCTGATATGCATCTCCTTCAGGGTCCCACATGTTCTCGTGGCTCTCAACACATAGGTCACCCCGGTCTTAGAGAGGCCATTGTCACTGAGGCTGTGGAGAGGAGAGGGAGGCAGCGTCAGCAGGCAGACAGCTCCTGCCCCCTCATTGTGACTTAAAAATTATTGTCTGTCATGGGTCCCCAAGCAGGGTCTCTCAAAGAATTCTTCAAGTTCTCTGGCTTCACCCATAAGCACCACGGCTGGTTCTCCTCTCTCTGAGCCTTGGTTTTGTGGTATACAAAGTAACGGCTGACCATGCAGGACTGACTAGCAGACTCTGTCCCAAGGGTTTTAGGTGTGCATGGTCTCATTTAATTCCATTTTACAGATGGAGAAACTGAGGCCCAGAGACATTCAATTACTTTCCTAGGATTTCAAAGTTATGGAGTGACATAGTGAAGGCTGAAGCCCAAACCACTTTCCCCAACCTCACCACTCCTTACTCACCCCAAACGACCAGAAGGCATAACGCAACCCTTAGACACCATCTTTGCCCCCGCCCTGCACCATTAGACAGCCTGCTTTCTTGGGTCACCACTCCAACAACTTACGCCTACGCCCTAACCAAACATACTACATTGTCCCCTGGAGTCTTGGCCCAGCGGCCGAGAACCCACCCATATTCAGTACCTTAGCTCTGGCCCAGTGCAAGGCCCCTGCCTCCCAGAGCTGTGGCCAGGACAAGCTGGCATGCATGCATGCCAGATGTGCCATGGACATGCTGTCCGTGTGCAAGGAGTTAAATGGCGAGGCTAATAGTGGCTCAGGGCAGAGGCAAGAGCAAGGTGTAGTCAAGAGGCCAACTTAGCTGGAGAGAGGGGACACCGGGCAGATCCTTGCTGACTGTGGGCATGGGGAACAGGGGCAGGCAGGGACCAGATGGGACTCTCCACGGCTCCTCTTGTCACCCAACGGCGGGGTGTGCAACTCACTCCAGTTTCTGGGCAATTCGCAGCTGGGAAGCAGCCTCTGCCACAAGTCGACAGCCTTCGTCTTCCAGATGGTTCCCTGAAAGACTAAGATAGAGGCACCTTGGAGACGCTCACAGCCCCCGTCTTGCTCAGTCGGAGCATCGTTCTCACAAATGAACTTTATAAAAACTAAAGGGGACAGGCCGCCAGCTCCACACATGGCACACACGTATGCCACATTTCATACAATCTATGAAAAAGCAGGGACTTGTATATCTTCTTCATCTTTCTGTTGAGTAAACCAAAGCAGAGTCCTTAAGGAACCCGCTCAAGGGTGGGCTTGGACTCAACCCAGACAGCCTGACTTGAAGATCCCACCTGTACCTATTCCTGTACGCTGCAATATGCATAACTGCTTATTGTGATAACCTCCCTAATTCCAGGATATCTGACTCGGTGTAGAGCCAGGGAGGCTTTCTTGATTTATTTAAGTACTTGCTGGAAATCCCAGGCATTCTATAGGTGAGTGATGGGGAGAGATTTGGAAAGATTGTCCCTAGTAGTGGGAACAGCACATTCAAAGATCCCATGGCATAGCGCATATCAGCATCCAGAGGAAGCCCGTATGTTTAGACCGGAAATTGAGTTAGGGTAGCAGGGTAAAGGGTTTGCGGAGTTTGGGGGAGGCTTCTGGGTCTCACAGGATGTGAGGATTTGGGCTTTATTTACTCTGAGGGTAAAGAGAGAGGGAGTGAAGGGCAGTGGTGAAATACAGTCTACCCTGCCAGAAAGGGAATGCCATGGTGGAAGGTGGGAAAACCATGAGTCAGAGCTAATGGGGTCACTAGGTGGGAGATTCTAACAGAGGAAGTGGATGAAGAACCTGGAGAAGAGACGGGCTTGAGACCGTCAAAGTTGGATTGGCAATAAGGGTGGGTGAGATGGCTGAGAAGGTGTTATTCATCTAGTTAGGTGGGGTGGGGTTGTGTTGCAAGTGAGGGACTGGGGAGGGGTAGGTTCAGTGACGGCAAGCAGGCCAGAAACATCCCATTTCTTCTTTTTAAATTTTGCTCTGTAAACCTGAGTGTCTGCCATGGTGCGAAGGTTCTGGATCCCTCGAACTGGAGTTACATGAAGTTGCAAACTGCCAACATGGGCACTGGAAACTGAAGTCAGGTCCTCCGGAACGGCAACAAGCACCCCGTCCCAGCCCTCCAGACCTTTTAATCATTTTTAACTATGTTTATTTTTGTAGTGGGAGTTGTGCACACGGAGGCAAAAGGACAACTTGCAGGGGTTGATTTGTTCTTTCTGTCATGTGGGTCCTGGACTTTGAAGTCTGATGGCCAGACTTGGTGGCAGGTGCACTTACCTGCTGAGTCGTCTTACTGGCCCTCATTTGCTATGTGTGAATCTTGCCCCTCAGCCTTCCAATGAAACAAGGTAAGAGACCAAGAGTTGAATGTTCAAGTAACCCTCACCCTACGTAGCATACCTTGAAGTGGGGCCAACTCACCCCTAACTACTTCACAGCACCCCACCACTTTTTTTAAAACAGGGTTTCTCCGTGTAGCCCTGGTTGTCCTGTAACTTGCTCTGTAGATCAAACTGACCTTGAACTCAGAGATCCACCTGCCTCTACCTTTCAAATGCTGGGATTAAAGGTGTGCACCATCACCACCACCTGGTGCACCCCACCATTCTGCCTTCACATCCCTTAGAGGACTTCCTGGGATTGTTGGTGGGACCCCCTTTCTATCACTAAGAAATAACCACCACCAGTTCTTGAGCTCCGCTCAGGAGCCAGGCATCACGGGAACTTCCTTAGCCTGTAAAGAATTGGTCATCACGGGGCTAGAGAGATGGCTCAGCAGTTAAGAGCATTGCCTGCTCTTTCAAAGGTCCTGAGTTCAATTCCCAGCAACCACATGGTGGTTCACAACCATCTGTAATGAGATCTGGTGCCCTCTCTGGCCTGCAGGCACACATGTAGGCAGATGTTATATGCATAATAAATGAATAAATATTATATATATATATATATAAAAGAATTGGTCATCCTAAGTACAGGAGGAGTCCCCCTCTACTGATGGCCATGGAAGTGGTGGCAAGACTCATGAGGATGGGCTAGGAATTTCAGACCAGATGCTTCCTAAATTTCAGACCAGATGCTTCCTACAGGTTTGATCTTGAGTGGATTTCCCTCTGTGCCTTCATTTCCTGCTCTATAAACCGTGGTTCCATCACCACGAGGAGACACTAACACACGTGTCTGACAGCTCCTAGCTCAGCACTTGGCACAGGACAGTGCTACACGGTGACTGTGTTCTGACAGGTGCTCAGACAGGTGTTCTGACAAGTGTTCTGACAGGGGATGTCCCCAGACTCTTGAGGAGTCAGTCAGCTACACCACCACCCCCCCACATGAAGGTGAGGCCTTGGCTGCTCTGCCCAGCTCCCCTAGTTCCTGCCCCAGGTCTCCCACTTTCCAGGGTACTCACTCCACTTCCTCCAGGCAGGGGCCTTTCCGGAGTAGCTCCACAAGGGTTTCTGCATCATGGACCCTGAGCTGACATCTCTGAAGCCTGGGATAGGAATAAAGGAGATCAGGGGAAAATGCTGGTCCTTCCTGTCATGAGTCAGATAAGACCTGAGGGTGCAGACCCGGGGTCTGTGTACCCCTGGTAGAGGAGTGATCTTATTCAAGGCACTTCATCTGTCTGTGACTCAGTTTCTTCCTCTACCAAACTAGAGTAATACGTGTCATTCATGAGATTCCTAAAAGACTTTCCACAAAGTACCAGCTACCTCTGAGCACAGCACCCCACATATAGCAAGGGCCCATTCAGCTGGAGCACTTGCTGACATATGCATGCCCTTTCTTTGTCACTGCATCTGCTTTCCTTGTGCCCCTCCCTGCCTGTCCTCCCTCCCCTGGGAAAGCGCCATCCCTCCATTATCATTTTCTGAGGGCAGCGGGCCCTGCTGAGGTACCTGAGTTCCAGGCTTCGGCTCTGCCTTTCTTTCTTCAGGTTGTCTTTGTCCTGTAGGTTTGAGGCTCTGAAAAGAACAGATTACACACTAGCTTGGGCTCGGGAGCCAGACCTGATGAACTGAACCTCTTTGCTTGACATCTAGGGTCTGAAGAGCCTGCAGCACCTCTCGTGGTGAGTTAGTCCCAAAGACAGAGTGGAAGGCACTCAAGGTGCAACTGGGAGGAGCAGCAGGAGCAATTGAGGTCTTCATTCCAATGTGGTCTCTCCCATATGTGGCTGTGCAGGTTTTGGCAAGTCACACAACCCATCAGATTTTTCGGTTTCTATTTCCTAAAGTCACCAAGATAGCATCCCTCTGATGCGGCCTTTGGTTCAGAAGACAGGGATCATGCACTGCCGCAGGCAGGTCCAGGCACAGGGGAGCTACAGCCCCTTCCAGACTCTCAGACAGGGAGAGGAGAATGCCAGGGACTGCAGAGAATCTTGGGCTATACCATACGCCAAGTTCCATAAACTTATAGATTTGAAATGTCTACAGAATCCTTTTATGATGACAGAACTGTTCTCCTGCCGTGTCATCTGCCACGGGAGTGACCTGTGGCCACTCCTGAGCCCTGGAAGGGTGGAACATGTGATAGACTGAAGTCACTTCATTTACGTTGTCACAGTGGCTGGCAATGGCTACGCTGGGTGTCAGAGCTTTAGACATCTGGAGGAGTGTAGGGAGTGACATTGGTACCAACTGGGTTATGGTGCAGATGGGGAGAATGAAGCTGGGATAGTAAGGGAGGAGAGTGGGGAACTTGGGAGGATGTTAGAGAACCTTACACGTCTTCACCCGCCCAGTGAGGGGGGGCAGCATCTGACCGCTGATGGTGGGCCAATGTCTGAAGCATGTTAGACACATTTGGTCCTCCCATTCCCCAGGCAGCCCTAAGGTGTGGCTCACTAACCTCTCCTTTATCTTTCTTTCAGTTTGAAGAATTTTTCAGCTTCAGTTTCTTCACCTTCTCCCTACAGGCCTGGCTCACTCTGAGACCCTGGGCATGCTCTCTAGCTAGGGGTCAGATGTACTCCAGACACATGGGAGAAAGGGGGAGCCCTGCTTTGCCAGCCCTGAGCAGGAATTCACATGGCAGTAGGGAGTCTTCCCACTTACGCTCTAGGTTCCCACCCTCACCTTCCCAGCCCGGACCCCTTCTCAGGACCAGCTGGGGCCATGAGCTACTTACTCTGATTGCTGCACAGCTGTCTCTGTTTTCGGGGACAGAAGGAAGATGAAGTCGGACTCCCTAGAGGGTCAAACACAAAGCCATGATATCTAGGAACCGGACTTCACCACTGTCCAGCTGTCACCCACCCCTGCCCCAACCATCCAGGAAAAGTTTATTTCCTGGCCCATAGAGAAACAAGAGAATGGGAAAGAGTACCCTAGCACAGGCTCTAAGTCCCCTGCCACCCGTGAGTCTGCTTTCGAAAGGTCAGAAAGATGATGTGGGAGGGGTCTTTATTTAGTTTTGCTTTGGTTCTGCTTTTTTTTTTTTTTTTAAGACAAGGTGTCATATAAACCAGGCTGGCCCTGAATTCACTAGTAATCGAGGCTAGCCTTGGACTTCTAATCCTCCCGAGTCCTGGTATTGCCACTGTGTATCACCATGTCCTCTGAGAGCTTTTAAAAATGAGAATTCCATTTGTATTCAGATTAAGGAGCCTGACGTCTAACCTGTAAGCCAATGAGTTAATACTGTTTCAGTACCACGGAGAGCGACATAGAGCTCATTCATTTGGCTCCGCAGTGTTGTTCATCCATCCGTCCATGCAACTTTCTATTCATTTGCTATTAATAAATAACCAGACTCAAGCCATGCTCTGAATTAAGCTGATTCTGGCATGCACACACAGATCTTGTAAGCTAGGGACCTCCTCCTTTCCCATCCCTCACTCCCTCTGTCCCTGTCCTTTTGCTCACCTGACCTGCAGCTTTCTGACAGGAGGACACGTGATGGCCACCTTCACCGCGGACAGCAGCGCTGACACGGAGATGCTGTTTCTGCTCAGGCTGCAGAATTGTGGCAAAATGTCAGGGCTGGATGCCCTTGGCATGGTCGACAAAGGAGAGAGTGACTTGGCCCAGGAAAAGGGATTGGCTGAGGGTAAAGATCACTTACTCAAGTTTCTGGAGCTTTGGCAGGCAAGGGAGCAGCTGCACAAGGCTCAGCACCTCTGGGTCCTTCAGCTGGTTGTCGAGCAAACTGCCGGGAGACCAAGACCTAATCCCTCAGATGGGGGGAAGGATGGGCGCTAGGAAGCCCCAGGTGGTGGGTGACAATCTTATAAAGTGAGGTAAGATGATTCAATGACCTGCTGGCAGGTCTTAGGTGTACAATGTGCCTGAGTCCTGAGTTCGCCAACATCCCAGAGGACTACTGAAGTCTCTCTGGGGGACTAAAGATTCTACTTCTGGTGTCAGCTCTGGTCACAGCTTCCCAGAGTCCAGGACAACCTCTCCAACCTCACTGCCTCTACCTGGAATCACAGTTGGAGGGACAGATGGATAAATGGTATGAGAATGATTGAGAGCAACAGGGGACATTATAAATAAATAAATAAGTAAAAAGGTGATGAGAGCCAAGATTAAGGCCACTCAATAACCAAAAAAGAGAGTTTTGATAAGACCAATGGTTTAAATCTTCATTCAAACCAGAGTGACCACTGAACAAAGGCACACACCAGAGGGAACAGCAGAGACTGGCCAGCTTGTGTTGCAGTCTGTAAGTGTTGTATTCTACTTCTTCCTGGGCCATCCTGTTTAGATTCAGGGGTTACCTTTCTGAACTTCAGGAAGGAGCTATATAAGACTGTAGAAGACCAAGGATTTTGCTGAGACTGTGTCTCCTAGCAATGTTAGAAGCTATACTCATACAGCTTCACCAACATGACTGCCTAAGCATGAACCTAACAAAGACAGCACCAACAGACAGGTTAACGTGGATGGGAGGAAGCCCGTGACATCTCTACCCTACACTAAGAACTATAGGCAACTGAATGCTAAGAGTGGGAGAAATAAGTCTTCCCAGTTGGTTTTCCAATGGTTGGCCCTGGAAACATACATACAAGTAACAAGTAACATTTACAGACTGAGAGTGTTATATTTAGGAATATATATGTATATACATTTATGTATATGCAAGCAATAACAATGAGAAAAGAGGCCATGAATCTGAGAGAGATCAAGGAGGGGTATATAGGAGGGCTTGGAGGGAGGAAAGGGACGGGATAAATGATGTATTGTTTCAAAAAGAAACAATAAAATTAAAAGAAAGTATTTTTTAAAAAGACGGTAGCAGAGGGTCCCCGGTTCCACCTTTGTCTGAAACAATCAATTCCAGACACAAGCTAGAGGTATATTGTGCAGATATGCCCATCCAGTGTGTGTGCATCTCAGTGTGCTTGCATGTGCCAAACATGTACTCATCTGTGAATAGCCATGTAACACACCCTTGAGTCTGAATGGTATTTTTCTGCAAGTGTGTATCCTAGTGCAGAACGTAAAGTTGTATGTTGTATGCATTTATGTGTTCCCCACGGTACCTGCCTTCTGCTTAGATACTGTAATCCCTTTTCCTAGGGCCACAGAATGAGGGGAGGGAGCCCAAAACTCATGATCCTCCAAGGTGGTCCCAAATATGTGCACTGCTGGAATCTCAGAGGCATTCTTTCGGATCTGACCCACCTCCTTCTTAGACTGATGGCTCTCGCTCTCTGGTCATCCTGGATGGAATACGCAGGCCCCAGGGGTGTCCTAAGAGCCGGAAAGTGTTCCTTCCCAGAAGCAAAGGAGCCCTTAAAAGGCCCTCTAAAAGGCCACTCACCTGACCTCCTCCAGCTGGAAACAGAGGGGCAAAGCCTGTACCAGGTGCCTGATGCCTTGGGCTGTGATCTTACTTCCTGTTAACCTACAGGGCAAGCAAAGATGGTAGAGGAATGGGGGTGGAGAAGGGGGCTGGCCAGAAATCTGTCTGTGCAGGACTAAGCAGGGAAAAGCGTGCCAGACATCCTTCTTCGCATATCTTGCTTGCAAGCCTTGGCTCACCCTAGCATCTTCAGGTTCCCCATAGTAGGCAAGCTCCTGCCCAGGGCTTCTGCAAAGGCGTCCCCACACTTTCTGCTTTTAAAACTGCAGGAGAGAAGCAAAACGAGTCAGTGCGGGGCAGGGCTTAGAAACTGGCAGTACAACACTGGCAGTGTCCATGGGGACAGATGGGACATCACATCACGGTAGCACGAGTTATCATTGTAGCTGCTGAGGTAGCAAGAAGTACAGCTTACAGCATTGGCTTCTTTTTTTAATATTTATTTATTATGTATACAATATTCTGTCTGCGTGTATGCCTGAAGGCCAGAAGAGGGCATCAGACCTCATTACAGATGGCTGTGAGCCACCATGTGGTTGCTGAGAATTGAACTCAGGACCTTGGGAAGAGCAGGCAATGCTCTTAACCTCTGAGCCATCTCTCCAACCCCCAGCATTGGCTTCTTTATCTGCCAAATCCCTTCATCCATAAAAATACAATCATATAGAGTTTAAATCATGACAAGCAAGAATCATGCATGCGTGCAAGCTTATTGCTCACGTAGTGGCCGGAGGTCTTTATCACTTTTCCGTTTGTTTGTTTGTTTGTCTCCCACTAGTCCTGAAACTCACTCTAGCTTAGGTTGAACTGGCTGACAGTGAGCTCTGGGAGATCCACCTGTCTCTGTCCTTCACCTCTACTGTTACAGGCATGAGAGCCTATGCTTGCTTTTTACATAAGCGCGAGGGACTTGAACTGAGGTCCTGTTGCTTTTACAGCAAGCCCTCGCAGACACCGAGCTATCTCCCCAGACTCAAAGACACTCCCTTAGAACCAGAAGCAACAACAAAGTGCTAACGATCAAAATGGGCAGAGACTTCAGCAGAGGTACAACTTCACTTCGCAAATTGGTCTAAAAAAGGATTTTAAGTGATAAAACTGTAACTCAGTAGGTTGGACTGCCTTGTTACAGTGCTAATAATATGTACTAAAATCTGTGAGGTGTTTTCAGCCTATTGACACTGATAACATGTTTGTAAATGAAGCCTGGTGTTGATGTGAAGGAGGAGAACAAGAAATGGCGCTCTAGCTGGAAGCAGTTCACCAGTCAGCAGTGACATTTCCAGCTTCCCTTGCAGCCTAGAGTGGCTGTGTGGCTAGGTTCTCAGCGATGAAACATGACCGGAAGGGACGTATTCCACTTCCACGGTGACCTTTAAACACATTCCCCTAAAGTCACCTTTTCCCTTCCTCCAAGTCAAGGCACAGGGACACCCATGGTTCAGCACTGATCCTACAGTTAAGATGTCTGAGGGATGCTGGAGGAAGGACCGGGGTCCCTGCATGACCACATGGGGCAGAGCAAACTACCAACCTGAGCCATCTCCTTGCGACTTGTCCATCACAGAGACCTACACTCCAGCAGGGCTTCCCCTGCTGTATCTGGAGAGTGCACTGGGACTACACCTTTGCTCTTTCTAACGGATAGAAACAGAGCCTTGGTTCTGGACCAGATGCCAGGTTGAGAAGCCTGTCTGACCTGTGTACTCACTGCACGTGTGGACAAACACCCTCAAGGGAGGTAATATATACCTGTTCAAGGTCAAGCAGCCTTGAGCAGCATAGCCCATATCCAGCACTCCAGTCCCTGACTGCCAGATAGACATGAGAGTCAAGAAGCCACAGGCACCTGGACTCCAGGGGCTGGGTCAAGGTGCACGATTGCCCCACCATGTTACACGCTAAATGAAGATGGAGCATGCTTTTCGAATGGTCAAGACTTGAATCCAGTCTCTCTGGCAGACTCATTGACCTCCTGCTTTCCCAAAGCACAGTGCCCTCCCCGGTCCTCCCTTGCCTCTCTTCTGATTTGACTCACCTGAGATTCTCAACTTGCCCACATCCTACCAGAGCCTCTGGACAATGGGGCTCCAGAGGGCAGCCATCAAAATCCAGGTGAATGGGGGCAACCCTGTGCTCCAAAATACTGGCCAGTGCAGCCAGGTCTGCACGGGTCAGTGGGAGATTGTGGAAGGAGAGCTGGACGGGGAGGTTTTGGGCAGTGAACTGTGCCAGCTCCAGCTCCTGGGTTTCAGCCACACAGTGATACAATTCTAGCATCTTTGGCCCGGTCAGCTTTCGGCTAGCCAGCTTCCTCAGCACCTGAACAACAGCAGCCTGCCTGGAGCTCACCCAGGCTTCCTCTTGTTGAGCCAGTTGGCAAAGGAATGCACGACAGTTGTGGGATGCCAGGCCTGCCAGGAAGGTAGGGAGGTGGTCGGAGAGGCCCAGCCTAGCTTTGGTCCGCAGCACCCAGTGGGAATTGAGTGTGACGTGGTAGGTGAGCGTTTCCTTGTCTACCGTGTTACTGGCCATCAGATACAGAGCGGCAAAGAACTCTTGCAGGCTAAGGTGGGCAAAGGCATAGCCTATTTCTTGGTGCTCAAGACTGGTATGAATAAAGAAGGAGGTCAGGAGGCTGTGGGCAGCTCCAAAAGCCATCACGGGAGGAGGAATGTCTTTTTCCATAGAGAAAATGACCTTCCCAATGTCCAGTCTACTAAGGGCCAACTTTCCAAGGCCCAACAAGGATGTGGCAGGCAGAGTCCCATGGGGGCTAAACGTTTCCACCATCTGCAGGAACAGCTGGGTTACGGTGGGCAGGAGGGCCGTAGACTGCCCTGGAGGGCTTCCAGGAAGCAGACGGCTGAGGCAGAGGCAGGCGACCCTGCACAGGGCAGGTACTGCACACATTCCCCGGAGGCGCTCATTGGTTCTCATTTCTGCCAGGGCCAACTCCTGTAACAGCAGGTCACTGAAGAAGTGGCTGACATACTTCTCTACCCGCTGCCCATCGAAGCCCCACATGTACACCATGGTGGCCTCTGTGGGCACACAGGCAGGCAGTTTCCCTGGACGAGAGGTGGTCATCACCCAGCAGCCTGGCAGGAGGGTCCCACTGCAGAGGTCAGAGAAGAGGGCGAGGGCCGAGCCTGCATTGTCAGCACCCGTGGAACTAGCATTAGCATGGAGGGCCTCATCCAGCCCATCAAAGATCAGCAGGACTTGATGGGCATTCTCCTCCAGGTACTGAAAAACAGCATCGGGGTCTGACTCGGGGCTCAGGTACAGATCAAAAAGGAGCTGGGGCAGTGTCAGCGAATGTGTGATCGTGTTGAGCCGGCGGAACTCAAAAAGGAACAGAGCCCGGAAGCAGTCCAGCTGACCGGCAGCCCACCTCCAGCAGAGCCGTCGTGCCAGCGTGGTCTTGCCCATTCCAGCCTTTCCCAGCAGGACTGTCACTCGAGGTCCCTTGGGGGCCTTGAAATGGAAGAGATCCTGGATGCTCACATCAGTGTCGTCGGTGGCCTCGGGGTCTCCTTTAGTGGCTCCCTCCTGAACGTCCAAGGGTGCTGGAGCCCGGCTCCCCTGTAGAATTGGGGGGATGTACACCTGTGGAGAGGCATGTGTAGGCCTTGCTCCTGGGCATTCACTGCCATAGTACTGCTGGGCAGAGATCTTCAGGAGCTTCAGATACTTCTCAGCCAGCTCTGCAAGGGACACAGCAGTGACATGAAGGCAGGAGTTCTCACACCCGATATATGTCCTGGGACCCCATGATCAGGCTGCTATTGCCTTTAGTTGCCAGTTATGGGGCCACTGGGGCAATAATTAAGTGCACAATGAATGTTCTTAGGTCACACATAGCTCCAGAGGGAATGGGCTACACAGCAGCATGGGCTCCGAAGCCTCTTACTCAGGGAGGTGGGGATGGGCCCTTGGGTCACAAATCTCTTCCAGGGCAATACAGGTGAGGCCGTTTTCAGTAAACTGGGGAGGTTGCTTGCTTTGCAACATCTATGGGGACCAGCTCTAAGATGGCAAAGGCAACTGCATCCTTCCCTTGAGAGTGGGCACCAACAAACGACAGGCCTTGCACCAGTCAATCAGACCGTGGGAACTGGGCTCCTGCTATGCCAAGTGTTACTTTCTTCCTTCATGGGTCGTTGGGAAGATGCAGCCCCCACCTCTATCCCAGAAAGGACTGAAGTAGTGGTCTGTTTTGCACAGACATAAATTTTCTGGTTATACCCATAGTTGGGGAAGTATATATGCACGTGAGGACTGGGCCAAGGATTATTCTGGACTAATGGCAGAGGATGAAGAAAGTTTCCCCTCTCCTCTTTCCCATGGCTACCCTAAATACTCTGTGTCTCCCAGGAGCTTCTATCTGGTGGTGCGGGAGAATTGTCTGTATTCTGTAAATCATATTTTAAATAAATGCTGATTGGCCAGGCAGGAAGTATAGGCAGGAAAACCAGACAAGAAGCAGAGGTGGAGCAAAGAGAACGGGAGTATTCTGGGAAGCAGGAAGCTCCCTCCGCCATTCCTACCCAGATCACCGAAGAAGCAACATGTGAGCTGACAGCTGAGAAAGGTACCAAGCCATATGGCTAAAACAGATCAGAATAATGGGTTAATATAAGTCATAAGAGCTAATAAGAAACCTGAGCTAATGGGCCAATCAGTTTATAATCTTATGGAGTCCTGTGTGTGATTTTCTTTGGGACTTGCCAGTTGTGGGGTACCGGGCGGGACAGAAACCCCAACAAGCTGGTCCCTTCATGCTACAATCTGGGGGTTTGCCAAGGCACCTTTATCACCTCCATCCTCATTCACTCCCCAACATGGCCACTGAAGGCCCATGTCTGAGGTTACACTGGTTACCACCTGATGCTCCCTCAACCTTGAGGACAGTCTGGAAGAGCCTAAGTGATAAATCTGCCCTTGAGGTGTCCTGCCTCCTCCTCTGCTCATTCAGGACCTTCAGTATCTCTCTCCTGGAGGCTTGGAAAGCAAGCCCCTGGACCTCAGAAGCTTTTCAGCCAGGGACAAGGCCCAGAACCTGTCTGTGACCAACCTCAGGGCAACCCAGTCTTAAGCAGGGGTCCCTACTCCTGTAACTCACCTAGCTGCTGCTTCCTGCAGTGCTTCCGGCGGGGCGAGGACCCACAGCTCTGAAAAGGGCGCTTGACACCTAGAAAGAGAGGAGTGAGGGCATAGGGGAGAGAAGGGGAACCCAGGCAGCACCTTTGGGGTGCTCTATTCCATAAGTGGGCCCAGGAAGAGAAGTATGGGACACCTGGGAATTATGAGAAGGCCATTTCCGTGGCTTCACCAGCAAGCTTCAGGCTCGGGGCCAGGATAAAGCAAGCAGGCCCACAGTGGGGTATTCTAAGCACCATGTCCACTAGGGAAGGGACAGGCTCTCTGAATCTTTCAGTTACCTGTTTGAGCCTGCAACTGGTCCTTGAGAATACACATCAACACCATGACATGATACCTGCCTTCCCAGAATTCCACGAGGGGACAGGGACATGAGAGCAGGCTCTCTGGGTGACACCTGACAGGGGATCTAGAAGGCTGAGGTTAGCTACACTCAGGGTCTCTTCTGGGGACCCAAATTAGATTCCTGTTAAAATGCAGTGGGGCAGGCCTTGAAAGTCAGAGAGGGAGGAAGTGGGGCTCGGTCCATGTGCCACGGAAGAAATGGTGGTCACTAGCTACCACTAGCTTAAGGTGAAGACTTAGCATATCAGTTGGCACCCAGAGCCCTAACCCCAGATCTCACCATGGTGAAGCGGAGGTTCAGGATGACTGTCCTCACCAGCTCCTAACTGATTAGAGAATTCTGTAAAACAGAGCAGAACAGGAGTCACTGGGGATGCGGGATAGAGACCGAGGATACAGTGTCAAGAGGATAGAGGGTGCCCAGATAGCTCTGAGTGGTATCTGTTCTGGGAGCAGCCATAGGTTCCATAGATTAAAAACTGACACCCGGTCATCTGTCAGGGAAGCAGGTGGTGCACTCTGCATGCAACAACATGCAGAAGTGTACATGTATATGTACACGTGTGCATCTCAGTGAGGATGCATGTCTGCACACATATATATGTGCATGTGTCCACGTGCCTGTGTGAGCTGTCTGTCCATGTGTATGTGAGTATGTATCCCCGCCTCCACACTAATAGAGCTCATGGGTGGGGTCTCACTTTCTATCCAAGGACTCCTTGTCCCTCAAGATGGTACTGAATGGGATAGTCAAGCTCCCTGTTTATTAGTAGGCACTGAGGTCTTCTGACTGTGCCGCAGAAGGAAGCCTCTTGGTCACTGCAGGCACTTGGAATGTATGGCTATTCTATGTCCTCTCTGTGTGACCAGATGGGTCAGTGGGGGCAGGGACAGGGAGGCTGAAGCTCTGCATGTCACAGGGCTGTGCTGACAGATTTGCACCTCCCGTGTGGACCCTTACCATCTTTTGGGCCCCAGATGCTCCGCAGTGGTACCTCCAGCTCTAGAGGTACATCAAGCTCCATGCACAGACTATGGATGAAAGACTCCCAGGTGGCCAGGTTCTGGGTGTACAGCCTCCTGAGCAGAACATGAATGCTCTCAGGGTCAAGGGCCTTGCTGCAGTCCAGGTCCACAGTAGGGAGGTAGAACCTAACCTTGGCACTCAGCCATTCTGAGTTTTTACTCAGCAGACTCACAAGCCTGGTCCACAGGTTCTCAGTGTCCAGATGGAGGCTCTCAGGGTCCATCAGAAGTTGGCCCTGTGGAGATGAGGGGAAACGGGTGAGCTTGGGGGTAGGTGAGTGGGAGGCAGGTAGGCTGGGGTATGTGGTCTGTAGTGATTTCTGTTAACTGTCAACCAGGAAGATGGGCCTCTGGCCATACAAATGGAAGGTTATCTGCACCACATGAATTGATATAGGAGGCCCCATCTTGATGTGGCTGGAACAATTCCCTGGGCAGGGGATCCTGGACTGTCTAGAGGGCGGGGAGGGAACCGAGCACTGCCATTAATCACTCTGCTTGCTGACAGTGGATAAGACCAACAGCATCACACTCCTGCTGCCCTGACCTCCCAATGTAATGGACTGTACCCTTGGGCATCACACTCTTGCCGTTTGACCTCCCAGTGTAATGGACTCTACCCTTGGGCATCACAGTCCTGCCGCCCTGACCTCCCAAGTACTAATGGACTGTACTCTTGAGCAGCTATTGTCGGTGTGTTGTGTCACAGCAACAGGAAGTAGCCTGATGTGTCTGCTCACAATCAGCTTCAGAGACAGGCCTGCTTCTGTACCCCCCCATCTGTAAACACACACACACACACACACACACACACACACACACACACACACACACGAGCGCGCACTAAGCAGAATAGTTTACCAGTTACCGGGCTCTGAGGATGCTGTTTCCATGGACCATCTGTGCTGCTTTCAGTCTGGGTTCATCTCACGACAGAGACGTCTAGCCACCCACTAATCCTGTTCTTTCTTAGAACTGTAACTCCCAACTGTTCCCTGATTATCCAGAATAGACTCGATCCCCCAGGCTCCCTAATAGTTAGATACAGCCACATGATGGGGGATGGGGTTGGTCAGTGGGGTGCAAGTGGAATGTTATCTGCTTTTCTTTGCTTCTTCCTGGTGGCTGGAATGTTAACAGGATGGCTAGACCTTGGGCAGTCCTGTTGGGTAATGAGGTCAGGGTCAGTGCTGAGGAACGTGTGAGTGAAGTTGCTCAGCTTCCCTGGACTCTATGTCTTTAGCCCTCTATTATATGGCTGAGAAGTACATTTTTATGTGGTTCAAAATCCTTCCTGTCACTCAAGAAGTTCTGTGTAAAGTGTACCCAGGTCTTAGCAACTACAAACCATCTGCTCTTGCTTTCTCTCTCTCTCTCTCTCTCTCTCTCTCTCTCTCTCTCTCTCTCTCTCCATCTATGTCTCTCTCTCTTTCTCTCTCTCTCTCTCTCTCTCTCTCTCTCTCTCTCTCTCTCTCAGCTAGTTCTCTCTTTCCAAAGATGGAGTTTTAATTTCTATTTATGCGTATGTGTCTGTGTAACTGTATGCCATATATGTGTGGCACCTGCTTAGGCCAGAAGAGGTCACTGGGTTCCCTGGAATTACAAGTAGTTCCTAGCTACCTGCTGTAGGTGTTGGGATCTAACCCTGGGACTTCTGAAAAAACAGCAGAACTCTTAACTGCTGAACCATCTCTCCAGCCCGATTCTCCACCTCTAGATGGAAGCTTACAAAGAGCCTGCCGGGAAGAGTTCCCATAGATGGCAAAGTGTAGCAAGGAGGCTGCTTGTTCGTCCTGGCCGCCCAGAACCAAAATAACCACATAGAAACTATATTATTTAAAACACTGCTCAGCCCATTAGCTCTACCTTCTTATTGGCTAACTTGTATATCTTAATTTAACCCATTTCTAGTAATCTGTGTATCGCCATGTGTCTGTGACTTACCGGCAAGATTCCAACCAGTGTCTGTCTCTGGCGGGGGCTACACAGCTTCTCTTTGAATCTGCTCTCCTTCTCCCTGCATTCAGTTTAGTTTTCCCCACCTAGCTCTGTTCTACCCTATCAGGCTAAGCCAGTTTTTTTTTTTATTCATTAACCAACCGTATTCACAGCCTACAAAGGGGAATCCCACATCACCAAAGGGCATTCACAAAGCAGAAGCCTAAAATAATGAGTTGTGGTTTCTATCTAGTAATTCCATATGCAGTAGGAAGCCATCATGGATACACAACTTTTTAAATTATAAAACGGTCATGGCATGATTATTTATAATAATTAAAAATCAGAAGCAGCATGAATAGCAAACAGTTGGAGGATGAGCTAATTAAATGGTGGTCTATATGTTGGTATAAACTGTTTGGGGTATATTTCTTCATCAACACTAATAAAATATGTACTATGTTAGTCATGGTATTCTCTGAGTATATTATTATAGATTAGCTAATCTTCAATTTGTAGAGCTAACACTTCTAACCCTAGAAAGAGTGGGAGGCCCACCCGGGAGCTGGCCTTGCTACACTCATTGAATATCCTGGCTACTCGGTGGGGGCTCCTTCCAGGCTCCTCTCCTCCATCAGACATCTAAGACTTGCACCAGAGCTTACAAGTCATATAATGTGCTCACATACATGATCCTAGGCAGGGACCACTGTCCCTAGAGGAGATTCAGGCCAAGGAAGAGAGAAGGAAGTGCCCAAGGTCACATACCAAGTTAGTGGCAGAGGCAGGATCAGAACTAAGTTTTTTTTTTTTTTTTTTTTTTTTGGCTCCCAGGCCAGTGAACTTCCAAAGCCTTAGAGCCTTGGGTAGCATGAGACAAGAACTTTGTGTGATTTTGTCCAAAGGATATTCTGAGGACAAGGGCATGGCTTCCTTTCTAGGCTAGGCTGTCTGGCAACCACGCTGCTTGGGAAAGAATCGCCTAGGGCAGTAGGAGAAGATGAAAAGGAGGTCTGGACAGGTGATGGTGGGCGGTTCCTTGTCCTCAGGTCAGCCTGACAGGGGCCTTTGTCTTGCCCTAGGTGTCCCACCTCTTGAGATAAGACACCAAACTCTTTAACCACCGCTGGCTGACAAGACACATCTCACCAAAAGAGACATTGTGACTTCTGTGGGAAACAACCTCTGGGACATGGTTTTGGCAAAAAGACCGGTTTACTACTAATTCTCTGTGGTAGGCCTCGGGGACATTTACAGACGCCCTGCTTCCCCCTTTCTGGGCCCTTGATGGTATCATAAGGAACCATCCCTTTGCCTTTGGGTGTGGCTGTGAAGCTCTGTTTGTCCGGTAAACTGTTAAAAATTACATAGGTCACATTTGTGCAGATGTTTCCCGAGCCAGTAGGTGACTCACCCTGTCTCTGCTCCGCTGTGCCTTTTCAGATCATGGTTACTCCTTTAACCTGAGTGCAGGCCAGAGGACAATTCTGTGGGCCAGAGCTCCCCTTCATTCACAACAGCCAGAAAGCAAGGGCGGGAAACGCTGCTTTGGGGTAAGCTATTTGTTGCCGCAGCAGGACCTGGCTGACACACTCACAGTGTGACTTTGAGCTAGTGTCTTTGCTGCCTGTTGTGGGGAGTGGAGGCAATCTTGGGTGAACGTGTATTATTGGCATGAACATGGCAAGCGCCCCAACCTGAGACCTGTGAAATGGCAGACCTTCCCTCCCGATGGAAGTATGAACAGGGTGAAAACATGGACCACAGTTTCCTCCTGGATATTAGAGACAGCGCCCCTACAGTGACCTCCCATTAAGACTAGCTAACCTCTCCTCCTTGTGGTATGCTTTATAAACACAGCCAAATTTCTGATTGCTTAGTAGGTGCCCTCATCAGTGCAAGAACAGCCCATCAGATCCTGCCTAGTACCCGGCAGTCAAAGCCTCTACTCCGAATACATAGAATTCTAAGTCTCTGGCTTCTAATGCTCTAGCTCTCGGGGCTTGGAGCTATAAGTGCTATGTCTGTCAGACCTGCCCAGAGATCTTTGGCACTCTAGAGTCTGGACTGCCCACACCATTAGGACTTGTAGCCCGTTCTTGGTTACCATGCACGGCAGCAAAAGGGTACAGTTGACTGGTGACACAGGGGTGTGGGGGTTGACAGTCGTGACCATAGAAGGGATGAGAAGGAATGGCCGGGAGGAGAAAGGAAAAGAGAGAAGAGAAAAAACACCTACCTGGCTTCTTGGATCATGATAGATGTTCCAGTGTTCCCACGCAGAGGCTTTATGTAGTGTCTGGGTCTTGTCTTAAGCCCTTCAGTTTGTATCTTATTTCCATAGTGCAGGTGCTGAAGAGAGAGAAGACATGATGCTCTCCTCCTCTTCCAGAGCCGAGAGGAACACTGCTGTGTCAAGAACTCTGGTTCCCGCCCCTGCCCCTGCCTGAGAGATATCTCTGAGGACACGGTCCACAGAAGTCCTCCACCCTCACAAACCAATTGAGTTCTTCCCAACCAAGTTCTATATGTCGCTAGAGTTGGCACAGCCATCCTGGTGCCATCCTACCGGACCAGGAACAGAGGATGTATACACACACACCACACACACACACACACACACACACACACACACACACACACACACACATGTCCTCCTAAACTCAGAGCCTGGGTGTCATAACGATTCCACAACTGGATCCAGCTCATTGATTTGCACAACAGTGGAATAATCCTCACCACAATCGCCAGCCTCGCCCTCTCTCACAAAGTCCCCAGGAGGTCAGCACTGTCTTTCTCACTTTCTCATCACTTTAAAGTTTTACGTACCCATTTTCAATCATCAGAAAGTGCTGGGCATGGTGATGCACGGGCGTGTGTAATCTAGTACTTGCAAGGTGAACACAGAAGGGCCAGGGGTTAAGACTATCCTCAGTTACAGAGTGAGTTCAAGATCAGCCTGGGCTGCATAAATTCTGTTTAAAAGAAGAGCAGGCGGTGAAGCCTGAGCATGTTAGTACATCTTGCTGTGTACCAAGTTAATGTTCTCCCCAGTGCACGTGGTGTTATCAAAACACCAGCGATCAGACTCAGAAATGGGGCTACTGAGATGCACCGATGCTGTGAGGGGGAGCTTCAAGTGTCCCTATAAGAAGAATCAGGAAGCCACTGTCCCTTTCTCCCCCATGGAAACACAGCAAGTGGCTGGGAGCCATTGCCAGACAACAGATGTGCTGGCTCTCAGATCTGGGTCTTTCCAGCTTCTGAGAGTGTGAGCAACAGCTGAGACCCAGACTGTGATATTCTGTTACAATCACAGACAGTCTAAGACACACCTGCCTGTAACCACAGAAAGTAGAGGGGGAAAAAAATCTCCACAGTGAGATCAGGCAGAACGCAATGCTTCTTGAAAAGTTCCATCAGGACACCCCAGAGTCCTTGATGAGATGGCAAGAAGAGCCATTTGGATAAAAAAAAAAAAGCAAACAGATGTGTGGCTATAGGATGTAAATAAAACAGCACCAGGCATTTTCAGTTAGAGCTGGACAGTCAAGGGCTCAGGCGGCAGTTCAGTGCACAGCACGCACGCATGTATTTAGCAAACACAAGACCCGGGGTCAATGCACAGGAACACACAAGACAGAAAAACTAAAGACAATTTTGGCAAAAGATCATTTCAGGGATAGGCAGGCAGTTCTGTGGAGAAAGCTTCTGAACATAGTAAAGCATCTTCTATAGTGGCCGCCACTGTAAGGCACTTGGGTTAAAAACAAAAAAAAAATTGACCAAAGGAATGGAATAGAGTCCAAATGAGCTTCATGTTCACTCAAGACTCGCTAATCAATGGTATTTGCCACTGATGTAGGAGGGTCGTCTATCTATCTGTTGCTTTCATTGGTTAATTAATAAAGAAAACTGCTTGGCCTGATAGGTCAGAACATAGGTAGGTGGGGAAGACAGAACAGAATTGTGGGAGAAAGAAAGCAGAGGCAGGCAGACACCATGAAGCTCCAGCCCAAGATGGACATAGGTTAGAATCTTCCTGGTAAGCCACCACCTCGTGGTGCTACACACATTAATAGAAATGGGTTAATCAAGATGTGAGAGTTAGCCACTAAGAGGCTAGAGCTAATGGGCCAGGCAGTGTTTAAATGAATATAATTTGTGTGTTGTTATTTCGGGTGAAAAGCTAGCCATGCGGGAGCCAGGCGGGACAATAGCAGGCCTGCTTGCCTCATCACTACATGCCACCACAGCCAATTAAAGAACAACTATTGGGCTGGAGAGATGGCTCAGTGGTTAAGAGCATTGCCTGCTCTTCCAAAGGTCCTGAGTTCAATTCCCGGCAACCACATGGTGGCTCACAACCATCTGTAATGAGGTCTGGTGCCCTCTTCTGGCCTGCAGACATACACACAGACAGAATAGTGTATACATAATAAATAAATAAATATTTAAAAAAAAATAAAGAACAACTATTAAAAATTTATTTTGCTTTTTATTTACATGTATGTGGTGTGTGTGTGTGTGTGTGTGTGTGTGTGTGTGTGTATGTGTGTATGTGTGCATGCACATGCACGTGGGGTGCTCTTGGATGTCAGAAGAGGGTATCAGATCCCCTGGAGCTACACCGAGAATATGGCCAAGGACAAGCAATGACAGTATTTAGGGGAAAACAAACACATGTATGTTTTATATTTGTGAATAGAGGGCTATTAAAAGAGCTCCACGGAAAAGCTCTGTAAATTATTATTACATGTAAATTACCACACTCCTCCCCCCCACCCTGCAGTCACACGGTCATAGACCCCAGGGGTTAGTGCTGAGTGAATGGCTGAGAAATAAACTTGCCTGTCCTCCGTTGATGGGTGAGTCTGGGTTTCTTTTTCTTTTTGGAGGATGTCATAAAAGCCTGGCAGCCCCTCACAATCCCTAGCCTCACCTTTATGTACTTTGGTTCACACCTGACTACCTACACATGTGCTCGGCTGGAGGTCAAGGATATAATTCTAAGTGGCTTCCACTTAGCATATGCTTTGTAGCTCTGCCACTGTGAGATACACGTGTGTGTGTGTGTGTGTGTGTGTGTGTATGTGTGTGTGTGACTAAGAAGAAGGCTGTGGTAGTTTGAATGAGAAGAGCTTGAATGTTTGGTTCCCAGTTGGTGGAATGGTTTGAAAAGGATTGCAAGGAGCATTGTTGTTGGAGTGTGTGTGACAGTGGGGGTGGGTTTTGAGGTTTCAAAAGCCTATGCCAACCCCAGCACCCCACCCAGGTAGATCAGGACATAAACTTTCAATTCCAGCTACAGTGGCATGCTGACCCACTTCCCATCATGATGACCATGGACTAACCCTCTAGAACTGTAAACAAACCTCCAATTAAATGTTTTTCTTTGTAAGAGTTGCCTTGGTTACAGTGTGTCCTCACAGCAACAGAGCAGTGACTAAGAAGGGAAGAAAGACTGGAAGAGACCGTGTCTCCTAGAAATGACAGGGAAATGACCCATGATACCTCGACTGCTAAACAAGACCTGAACAAGTTACAGCACCAACAGACATGCAAGCATGGAAGCAGGGAATCTCACAGGGACATAGACAAAGACCTGTGGGCAATGAAGAAATTCTGAGAGTGGAGTATGGTGGTTTGAATGGAAATGCCTCCATAGGCTCATAGGGAGTAGCATTATTAGAGGGCAGGGCCTTGTTGGAGGAGGTGTGGCCTTGTTTGAGGAAGTGTGTCACTGGGGGTGGGCTTTAAGGTTTCAAATGCTCAAGCCAGGCCCACTGTCACTCTTTCTTCCTGCTGCCTATGGATCCAGATGTAGAACTCCCAGCTACCTCTCCAGCACCATGTCTGCTCATATGCCATCATGCTTCCTGCCATGATGCTAATGGCCTAAACCTCTGAATTGTAAACCAATCCCAACTTCTTCATAAGAGTTGTTGTGGTCTTTGTGTCTCTTCACAGTAATAAAATCCTAAGTATGACAGGGAGAATTAGGGATGAACCCCACAACTGGTTATCCAATACTAGATGGTCAGTCCTGAAATTATATACATTTTAATATGTACATCTTGACTTTAAAATCATATAATCATCAACTTTAAAAAAGACTAGGATCAGCCAGGAGTGGTGAATGACCCCTTTAATCCGAGCACTCACAAGGCAGAAGCATGTGGATCTCTATGAGTTCGAGTACAGCCTGGTCTACATAGTGAGTTCCAGGACAAAAGACAAACAACAAACAGAAACAAAAGGATGCATAAAGAAGGGAATGACGGTAAGCATAGGAAATGCTTGGTGATGCTTATAAAAACTGAAAGCCCGCTAAATAAGGAAATCCTAAAATGGAAATATGAAGGCAGTGGTGAAGATAAGAATTTGGACTGACTAGGAATGAATATTTAAACTAAAAAATAATTCAAATCTATCAAGAAAACACTTTATTTTACTTGTAACGTGTGTGTGCGTGTATGTGAAAGAGAGAGAAACAAAAGACACTACACTTTCTTTGGAAATGAGGTTGGCAAGTGTGCATGAACAGCATGGTGAATATTTGCTGGGCTTCACACAAATACCCTTTGGGGCTACCTCTTTTAATTCTCAATATTCCACTTAAAATTGTTTATTTCTCATGAAGGTAATTTATTTTGAGTCTATCATGAACTTTGACCAAGAGATGAAGTTCAGATGGCCAATAAGCACACAAAAAACTGTTCAACATCCTTAACCAGCATAGAAATGCTGATTGAAACTATACAAGGAAAATTAGGAAACAACCTTCCTCAAGACCCAGCAATACCACTTTTGGGTATATACCCAAAGGATGCTCATTCATGCCACAAGGACATGTGCTCAACTATGTTCATAGCAGCATAGTTTGTCATAGTCAGAACCTGGAAACAACCTAAATGCCCCTCAACCGAAGAATGGATAAAGACGATACGGTACATTTACACAATGGAGCACTACATAGAAGAAAAAAAATAATGACATCTTAAAATTTGCAGGCAAATGGATGGATCTAGAAAACAATCATATTGAGTGAGGTAACCCAGACTCAGAAAGGCAAATATATACTCACTCATAAGTGGCTTTTAGACATAAAGCAAAGAAAAAGAAGCCTACAATTCACAATCCCAGAGAACCTAGACAATAAAGAGGACTCTAAGTAAGACATACATGATCTAATCTACATGGGAAGTAGAAAAAGACAAGATCTCCTAAGTAAATTAGGAGTGTGGGGATCATGGGAAAGGGTAGAAGGTGGGGAGGAAGGGAGGGAAGTGGAGAAAAATAGATAGCTCAGTAAAAACAATTAAAAAATGCTATGTCCCAAAGTGCCTTGA